GTAAATTTGTTCCATCATTCCACGATAAGCTTGGTTGCTGCATGAAAGCCAAGACAGTATTGTCTCTCCGCCCTGACGCAAAACCTATCTCCCGGCCCAGACGTCCAGTATCGTATGAGGCGTTATGAAACGTTGATCAGGAAGTGGGGAGACTGCAACAGGTTGGCATCCATCAACCTGTGAATTAATCATCATGCGTTACTCAAACTGAGGTGACCAAAAAACCAAATGGAAAAGTCCGGACTTGTGCAAACTTCACCGGTCTGAGTGATGCTCTTAAAAATCACCAATATCAGTTGCCTCTCCGGAAGTTTTGTCTCCAAGGCTAAATAGTGACAAATGTTTCGCCAAACTGGACTTGTCGGATGCATGGCTTCAAGTAGAAGTTGCTGAGAATCCTCAATACCTTCTGATCATCAATACTCACATCAGTCTGTTCCGATACACCTGCCTACCAGTTGGGGTAAAAACGGCACCTGCCTTTTGTCAACAGATCATTGAGATCATGTTACAAGCAGCATATCTTGACGATATCATTATAATGGGCATTGATCCGGCGGATCTAATCAACCGGATTGAAAACGTGCTTGATCAAATCCAAGATTATGGCTTTGGCTTGAGAAAAGAAGTGTTTTCTACTTGTGTTATATAATGTATAAAATCAGTTGGAGACCAGACCCCGCTAATATTGAGGCTATCCAGAAAATGCCTCCACCACATGATGTGACAACATTCCGACCCCTTTTGTGAGTATCGAACCATTAGGGCCCATTTTTGCTACCAATGCATGATATACGGGGTCCGAGGGACGCACTAATCCTCAAGAACTCCAATTGGTGTTGGAGTACAGAATACATAAGTAAAAATTTTATTCTCGAATGCACTGAGGCACACCAAACAAGGCATGATCGAAAACCAAGCTTTTGACAAGAACGAAGTCATGATGTCGTCAAATCTTTTGCTGTGCCATTGGGATTCGATTTTGACATCATTGTTGCTACAGATGTGTCTAATTACGGAGTCGGTAGGGTTGTATCTCACGGCATTCCTGACGGAACTGAGAAGGCAATTGCTCATACAGCCCAATCGTTGGTACCTGGAGAACGCAACTACATCCAAATTAAAAAAGAGGAATTGGCGATCATCTACGCCATGAAGATATTTCACGGAATATCCCATGGCCGCCACTTTACTACTTGCTATCTTCGGTTCCAAAAAGGGCATTCCCGTGTACTCAGCAAAGCACCTTCAGAGGTGGGCCAAAATGCTTTGGGAAACGGTCAATACCTTAACTCAATTCATTGCATCCGTCACTCAAATGCCTGCCTCGGTCACGCTTGAAGCTGTAACGCGTGCGTCATGTGACATGTTACACGTGTGCACGCGTGTAAGCCATACCCATGGACAACGTGACCGCGATGTGAGGTCACGTGGTTTGCTTACCACTGACTGCACCGGTACAGTGGCTAACGTAGCGGTGAATTTAACTCCATAGACACGCTTGCTCTACTCCGAATGTCACAAAATGCACTCGTACGCGCAACACGGCAAAGAACATAACACTTAAAACTTATGAAAAGTGACACGACTGGAAGCAAGTTGCACACATACTAAACGTAAACCTAATTACCTGCCGCAGTTGTTGAAATAAATCGGACAAACAGAAAAGCATGTTGACGGCCACCGAAGGTGTCTGACAGAAAGACAGATTGATTGCCTGGTAGAATGGGTGTCGACGGAACCCGCGGTCACTCTCCATGGTCTGCAGTCGAAGGCAACATTGAGGTAAGCGTCAGCACAATCGCACGATACTTGGATGGACGGCTAAGTATCATGAAGAAGTTGCGAGCACTTCCGGAATCCGCCAACACACATGAGAACAAAATGCGGAGAAAAGCCTACGTCTTGGCACTGCTATAATTTGAGGCCGAAAGGAGACATGCCGTGTGAATGGATGAAGCCAATTTCAATCGCTCTTGTGCGCGCATCATGGGGCGTTCACCGCGTGAAACTCCTGCACAATGTAAAGTGCCTAAGATTCGAGGGCAAAACCTGCATTGGAACGTTGACGAGCGACGGAATAATAGGTCATACAATCACGAGAGGAAGCTTTTCTGTTTGTCCGGTTGATTCCAACCTGTTTACGCAACTGCGGCAGGTAATCAGTTTACGTTTAGTATGTGTGCAACATGCTTCGTCGTGTCCCTTCAGAAGTATGATGTCCTTTATCCCTGCCGAGTGGCGCGTACGAGTGCATTTTTGTGACATTCAGAGTAGAACAAGCTGCTGTCCTAAGTGCACGGTTCCACTCAAATTGGGGTGTCTAGTTAAATTCACCGCTACGTTAGTCACCATACCAGTGCAGTCAGTGGCAAGCAGATCACGTGACCTCACATCGCGGCCACGTTCTCCATGGGTATGGTTTACACGCGTGCGCACGCAACGTCTCACATGACGCACGCGATACAGCTTTAAGCGGGACCGGTGCAGGCAACTGACGGAAGCAGAATTGAAAAGGTGTAGAGAGAAGTACCAATCGAGTTGGAACATTGGTCAGGCTGATGCCCTAGCATGCTTCATGAACAAAAATCGACAAAAGCTAGAGGACGTCGCAGTGGCAGGCATCTCGATCGAGCCTGAAGTTCGTTGCGTTGTCACAGATGCAATCAAAACTATCCCAGTAACAGCCTGTCAGATACGTGTCGCAACAGCACATGACCCTTGCTGCAGCAAGTGGTCTTCTTGCACGAACCAAAGCGGACACAAAAGATTGAAGACAATGAATTGAAGCAGTTTCATCAACATCCCAATTCCCCGCAAATAGTCGACGGCTGTCTGGTCTTTGCAGAACGAGTGGCAGTTCCCAAGAAATTGTAACCGAGGGTTTTGAAGCAATATCACATCGGACAGCCAGAAATAAACCATAGAGACATCGGCCAGTAGTTACGTGTACTGACCTCTTGACGCTCAAGCAGATGAGCTTGACCGCTCCTGCTCCAAATGTGCACTTGCTTCAAAGTCGCCAAAGAATAGAGCACCATTGTTAGTCGGACCCTGGGAAACCATGGTCAAGGCTTCAAGCCGATTAAAGAGGACCGATTAAAAGAAACAATTTCCATATCTATGTTAAAACCTACAGTAAGTAACCAGAAGTTCTGCACATGTCTGCGACTACTGCTTCAGCGACTATCAATGCATTCCGTCAGGTTTGCAATCGGTTCGGGTATCCCGACATATTAGTGATTGAGAACGGAACTCAGTCCACTTTAGCGGTTTTCGAAGACTGCTGCAACATAAACGGTATAAGCCACATGAGGTCATCTCCATACCATCCACGGTCGAAATACCTTGCATTGATTCGTGAACAACTTTAAGAGAGCATTACTGTAAACGACGGCCTACAGGATCTGACGGCATACAGGATAAACCCAAATCCGCAGGTGTCTCAAGGTAAATCTCCGGCGGAAGCACTGATGCAACGGAAATTGTGATCAAGCCTTGATTTTCTTAAACCTGCGAACATGGACAAATTGAATCGAAACCGCAAAATGGAACGGCAGTTTAACAGGAAACACGGTGCTCTGAACCCACTTTTCTTCAAAAAGCAATCTGTGCTGGCAAAGAACTACCGCAACAACCAGGCTAACTAGACTCCAGGACATATCATTCATCGAACTTGAAGTGCCACGTGTGGCGCTGCTGTGAATTCTGAGGTTTGGGTCCGGTACGCCAATCAGCTACAAACCCGTTCCTTTCCGGATGCATCGCCAACGCGCAGCATGTTGCTGTTAGACTTACTCCTCGACACAGGAGATTGCCCTTCTTACACCTATACCGGTTAGCACCAAGATGGATGGATCAACGCTGAAAGACAGTGATTCCGATTCAGGTGAACCCCAAGCTGAAAACCTACGCGATTCATTGAAAAGTGGAAATGTTGGGGGATGCAGACCCTAAGGAAATCAGTCGGATACGAATTCAAGCGATCCAGCTGGAAGATGAATGCCTTGTCGTATGGTCGTAACTTTGGTTTAACCAATGATATTTTGCACATTTATTGTTTTAATATCATTTGGTAGAAGGACTTTATAAGCCGCCGAAATTGTATTTTTTGCATCTAGTATTGTCTTCTCGAGAGAAAGCGTTCCTATGCAACGTCGTTCGACTTCTGTTTTGAGTCGAACGTTTGGGCATTGAGGTTGTGGAAGGCCACAACAGAAACATAAGGAAAAAAGTGCTATTGGCACTCTGACTGCCCATTCCCAGAGGTTTCGCCTGAGCCTCACTTCTAGCCTTTCGCACAACAATCTGACCCACAAGGCAGTGAGAAAGTCCAGATCGGGAGTTTGTGTGTGTAGGTTACCGGATCTGCTCTAGGTCTGTCACATCTAGACTTAGAAGATCAGACACTTCACATTTGCTAGACCCTGGATTCTAGTTTCGACACGTGGCAAGCATCAACTTCGGTGGTAGCAGATAAGCTGGTCGAAATGTACGCCTAAGGGCAAAAGTGCTGAGTGCCACTAAGGAAACCAGAAAATGACCTGAAAAAGAGATTTCTGACAACGAAACAGTCACAGAAGCGACTACTAAAGGTGCTGCTAATTAAGCTTAGGAGTATAAAAAATTCCTAACATGAACCGGGGGTCTAAAATAAATGGAAGAAAAAATATGAGAAGTTCTCAGTTTTCGCCTTTTTTGCTCTGCTGAATACAGTCTGATAGTCAACATGCATATGGAGAAGGGATGGAGAGTCGCCTCATCCAAAGTAGTTTGAGCTGTTTTGGATTTTATTACCTTGGGGATGAACAATATGGTTAGCTGGGTTATGGGTAATGAAAAAGATTGAGCTGATAATGCGCACTAAGAAATGGCAATGGGTGTCTATAATGAAACTACTCAGGCTGACCAGAAGCATTCGATTGCAGTAAAATGATGTTACGAACTTCAAATAATTTCAGATTACCTGTCGAAATATCACCATAATAACAAAAACCCACCTTGGTAACCATGCTTCTAATGCCTTCCGAGTCTCTTCAGGCGTTTTCGTGGGTCTTTTTGTCCAACCCAAGCGGTTTGCTATCCGGTGAACATGTGTGTCTACGGCTACGCCCGTGACTTCATTCCAAGCGCACTGCATCGCCAAATGAGCCATCTTAGGACCGACACCTAGTGATTCACTGAGATCAATATGAGTAAACCTGGGAGTTGACATAGGTCCTGTACACTATGCGGAATGTCTCCATTATAGCTATTTTTGAGCACCTCACAGGTGCTCAGAATATGTTTTGCCTTGTGCTAAACACGGCGTACGTAATCAAGTATGGTACCCACACAAACCCTGTAAAAGCTGACGGGGTAAATAAGTTTTTCTAGTTCACCACGGTCCATGGACATTATTCGTTCCAAACTGCATCCGTAGGTTTGCAGACGTTGCATTGCAGCAGCAGTAGTTTGGTCTCTTGTTTGGCTAGAAAGCATGAGACTGAGAAGTGTCTGAAATCGGAAATTCTGACAAATGGGGGAAGATAAAGCCGTTAATACTTACTTTGGGATCATCTAATTTGTCCGCCAGGCACTCGCAACCCATAGTGTCCACTGGAGCATCACGAGACGAACGCATTTCGCATATGTTCTGCAAATGCTTGCGCCAGTTTGCTGGGTGCCATTCAGCAGATGCTACATCTTCAATATCTAATGGTGTATGCCGCATCCGCTGCGATGAGCGTCTTCTAGCCATGAACAATTTGCCGATTAGGTAGACCAATGTCAGGTTCCCGCTCTGGTGCGAACTTTCATAAGTTTAAAAAATGAAAGTAATGCGAATAGTTGATAGTTGGTTGAAGAAACCTGAGAATACGAACTCTAGGCATGTCGGTTGACAAACATCAAAAAGGGACCGTATGATTACCGTAACAAAAAATGTTGTTGCTTCGAGACGTGCCGTGGTACAAATGGTACATAGCAACGTGGTTACCCAGCGACGTTGCCAAGTTCAAGTTCAAGTTCAAGTTAAAGCGGGACTGGAACGATAGGATTATCCCGTGAGTGTTTCTTCTTCGGCGGGTCGTTGAACCAGGAGTTAGCGAACTTTGAAATACTGATGGACCTAAAACAAAGACCGCATCACACCCTGTCCAACTAATTAATGCCCACGTATCCTGCCATAGCAGTCCCTGCTGGGTCGGTTACGTGTAAGAAAGAGAAAAAAGTAAACACGGAAGGCAAAAGAGAAAGTGGTAAGCGCTAAGCAAGTGAAATACCAAGATATTTGAGTCAATAAAAAAGAACTGAAAAGTGAAGGTGAGTCAGCTAGGAAAAAGGAATGGTTTGCTGTTGCCACCCCAGAGCATCGAGCTGGCGCGCAAACCCCTTAACTGTAGGTTCCTTAACCACGTGATCTGGAAGAGAATTCCAGCGATCTATAACTCGGCGCGATAGACTAGTTTCAGTCCTAATCCTAGCAGACCGTAGTTTATGCAGCTTCAATGGGTGATCGCGGAGACTAGCTAACGTAGCGGGACTAAAAAGCTTTGATAAGTCCGGGCCAATCTTACCCGTCAAAATACGATAAGTGAGAATCAGGTCCCCTCTTATCCTTCGGTAGTGCATGGAGTATATCCTCAAACTTAGCCAACGTTCAGGATACGTCTGTCCCCGTAGACCCTGCACTAACCGAGTGCCCACTCGTAACACCCTCTCCAAGTCCATTTTGTCGCGGTTAAGACATGGTGAACAAGCCTGAATATAATATTCCAGGTGGTGTGGGACGTATGCCGAAAATAGCTTCACAAACAACTTGGCCGTTACGATTCCGAAAGAGCGGCGGATAAACCACATCATTCGAAACCCTCGACAAGCAGCCGTCTTCCAGTTGTCTTCAGAACGAAGTGCTGTTGCGTGTACGACTCCTAAATCAACCTGCTGAGTGACAACAGGGAGTTCACCACCGCCGACAACATATCGGGTGGGAGGATTTGCAGCTCCGATTCGGAGAACAGAGCACTTCGCCCTATTTATTGGCATCAATCATAAGATAGACCATTCTCAAAGCCTATCCAAGGCACGCTGAAATGCCTCAGAAGCCCCATGATATCCACAATATTCCAGAGCTTAAGGTCGTCAGCAAACATTAGCAGTGACACCCCTAGCTCTCCCGGCAAGTCATTTACATAGATCGGGAACAACTAAGGCCCCAATACCGAGCCCTGCGGAACGCCATTAAGGACAGCTTGCGTGAGCGAAAGGCTACACCCCACCCGTACGCACTGTTCCCTCCCCTCAAGAAAGGCAGACACCCATTGAAGGGCTCGACCAGATATTCCGTAAGATCTCAATTTTAGTGAGAGCCGAAGATGTGGAACAGTGTCAAAAGCTTTTGAAAAATCTACGAATAGCAAGTCTACAACGTGGCTACTGTCTACCGCTTCGGCCCAGCTTCCACGAGCTACAAGTAGATTAGTCTGACATGAAAATCCTTTGCGGAATCCATGTTGCGCAACACTGAGAAGGTTGAAGCTATTCAGGTGGTTCTCCACTGAATCCCTTATCAGCTTTTCGAACAACTTGACTACTACGCTTGTCAAACTGACATGCCGGTAGTTCGCGGGTAGAGTGCTGTCACCGCCCTTAAAAATCGGACAGATGATTGCCTCCTCCCATTCCGAAGTTAGGATGCACCTGTCCAGCGATATTACAAATCCGCACGTGAGCGGACCACTCAGTTCAGTGGCCAGTACATGCAAGAGCTTCGGATGAATTGAATCAGGACCGGAAGTTTTAGAGGGATTAATGCCTTGCAATAGCTCGAAGACCTCAGTCTCCGTTATGCTAAATTCAGTTAAGCAAGAATCCTCTGAAACACTTGAAACCAATTCAACCTGTGGTAAAGAGTTCTCACGAACAAAGACCGCAGTATATTGATCACTCAGTATACAAGCCTTTTCATAGTCAGTTTGCGCACGGATCCCGTCTGCTCGCAATAAAGCTGGTATAGACAGTTTTGCCCCGCTGCGTCTTTAAACGTACGCAAAAAGCTTCTTGGGATTAGCTGCGGCCGAGTCCGCTAAACCCTGCTCGTATTGAAGACGAGCAGTTCTGAGATGTTGCTTACATTTATTTCTATTCTCTCGATAACTATCATAGGTACTGGCTGGTGGAGCTGCTTCGCCAGCATCTAGACCGTTTCCTGAGTAGGTACTTGCCTGTGGTATCTATCCATTGAGGCTGTGCTCTTAACCCTCTTTTCCTCATGAGTGGAATATAGGGAGTGGAAACTTCCGTAAGGTATGCCTTAAATTTATCCCAGGCTAACTGGACAGAGTCAGCCATCGAGATCTCACAGTTCAGAACTAAAACCTTAGTTCGCATTACACTAAAGTCCGCCCGCCAAATATTAGGAAGTAATTCAACAGCGGTCTCTTGGTGCCTTGTAAGAGCACATCGAAAGGATATGAATGCGTGATCGCTAGACCCTAGAGGTGCACCGTGGGAAACGTCAGTCACGAAGTCCAGGGACTTAGCGAAAACTTAATCCAAAGTAGATGGTATTTGGTTGTCCATATACATAGTGGGAAACTCAACGAACTGGTGCAAAGGCACTTAGAGAGTCAGTTCAAGGAAGTCTGCACCGAATGTTCCCGATGCCGAAGTGCAAGAAAGATCGGCCCAGCAGACTTCCGGGAGGTTGAAATCCCCTAGAACTAAACATTTATTCGCAGACTGTGTGCGAATAAAGTCAAGTATCTCCCGGAAGAACTTCCAGCACTCCTGTATATCACCACAACTGTAAACTGGGTAGGGGAAGTGCACAAAACAGCCGATACGGCTTCAACAGTCTGATCCGACGACTGGAATGTGCAAGTCCTCAACACATCAGCGGGTAGCCAGGTAAATATACCTCACCGTCCGTGATATCCGGAGACAAGCACGTTTCAGTGAAAGCAAGTATGTCGGAACGAGATTTGTCTACAAGTAGACCCAACTCGTGCACCTTGTTCCTTAGGCTGCGCACGTTGCTAAGAACTACCTCAAGGAAGTCGGCACGACCATCCCTGGGTCGTGCGCCGACAGGATGGGCTCTGATAGGGCGGGAAGCAACTTCCGGCTGACCACCTGAAAACCCACCAGACGGAGGCCTTGCTCACCAGCCGCCCGTCTAATTTTGAGGTCTTTGATAGCCTCCTTTAACTTCAACCTATCTGCCAGTGGTCGTGTTGAGATCAGAAGAAATTATTGTACCCAGGTCCTTTTCCTGCGTGGCAACCTTGAGTTGGTGCCCGCCAATGTGATACATGCCCAGTGGTTTAGCAGCACTTATAGAAAGGACTAAGCACTTATCTTTGTTGACCGGCAAACCCTACTTGCAAGACCAAGTGTGTGGCAGATCACGAGTTTCCTGTAATCGGTCGGAGTCTTCGAGGCTGGACAATTCCGATCATAGGTTGAGGTCGTCTGCATAGTTCAGACAGTCCGGTTGCAGCATACTAGGTAGATCATTGATATATTTTGAACGATTCCGGTCCGAGTACTGAGCCTTGTGGTACGCCACTATACATAGGCACTGTGAATGAAAGCGTCTCATTTACTTTGACTCCCATGTCCCGGCCTTGCAAGAGGTCACTGATCCAGAGTAGCATGTTTCCTGTTATGTCAATTCCGCAGATCTTAGAGAGTAATTCCTGACGTGGGACTCTGTCAAACGCTTTGCTGAAGTCGATGAAAACCACATATAAATATTTTCCAGCGTCCACTGATTTAGCCCCTTTCTCTCTAACGACCAGCAGGTTAGTGATGCAGGAACTTCCTTTTCTGAAGCCGCGCTGGGTGACAGAAGTGGAGTCCAGAACTTCGCAGTGTCGATTGATAGCACATTTAATGAGCTTTTCCATGATCTTGCAAGCAACCGACGTCAAGCAAATTAGCCGATATTTAGCAGGATCCTAGTGGTTTCCCACTTTGTATTTCGGCATAACTACACCCGTCACCCAATCGACAGGTAGTGGACCAGCATTAAGAGAGAGCTGAAAGATTTGCCAAAGTGGGACGGAAATGCATTCTGCTACCATCTTGAGTAAATATGGGTGTAGCCCGTCTGGGTGTGGTGAGGAAGATGAGTTCAGTTCTAGTTGTGGCTTCAGAGTAGCACCTGCATGGTGCGCCTCCCGGTGAAATACTTGGAGAAAAGACAGCGTACGGAAGCGTGATCCCCGTGTTTTTAGGTATTCATGTGTGTTGCGTTTCCGAAACGCACAAGTACCGCGTCTGCGCTCTTCAGAAGCTCACCCGGCTGGTACTTACGGGTTTCACTTCCAACGGATTAACAGTGCCGAGCGGCTTCTACAATTGTGTGCAGACGTTGTTTCTTTGTAGCACTGCTTTACGACGTAGTGGGCTGCGAAGTGCCACTTGGCGTCCTCCTGTAGCTGGCTAGCGATAGGCCCAAGTTGACCACATAGCCATAAGTTAAAGATGGCGTGCTTCCATCCTGCATTGCCGGTCGTACTGGAGTACCTATGTCCACTATCATCATGCCTTGGTACACTGTCATTTCTCCATGAACTTTACCGGGAGGCGCACCAGACGTCCTCTCCGATTGGTAGCTAAAAATTGTCTCCCCTAGGTCAGGCTAGCCTATCCAGCCACACTGCATACCGAACTTTTGCGGTCTCGTTTTTATGTCACTTACGTTCAGCGGCATAGGATTTCGGCCGCCATGCACGACGCCGGAGCACCTGATTGTGGCACTTTCAACCGTCGCGGCACCAGTCACTATATCCGAGTGGT